AACAAAACATTCATTCTATAATTTTTCTTCATTCTATAATTTTTCTTCAAAATTTCTATCCAAAATGTCGAGTTAGCTTGCTTTGGATAAGAGTAGGTTTAATGGTTGATTATGTGTATGATATTGTTATTAGATTTTGCCCTGAGTTAGTCATCTAAATGAGCATTTTGAATGGAAAGATAAGAAATAATTGTTTTGTTATATAATTAATGTTAATTAAAGTGTTAGGTGTAAGGCAAGCGTTGAGACTCTTCCTAGAGCCTAGCATTCCTAGGCGTCGTCTAGACGTGTCTAAGCGTTGGATGTAAATGTAGCAAAATATCTTACACTTGTCTTGAATCACAAGTTTGTGAATCAATATTATCGTGTTTACGTCTTATTTCTAAACTCTCATCAACAACACATGGTAAAGTATAAAATATAGTTTGGAGCAATGAAATGGGAAGAAAAAGCGAAGCAGACTAAGAGAGAATAAGCGTATAAAAAGAAAGAAGAAGCTACTTGAAATATGGTCGTCTCTAACTCTAGCCTAATGGCTAGAACACAAGGAAGAAGGAAAAGAGAGGACAATATTGATTTTTTACAACCTAGTAGCACATGAAAAGACAGTATAGAAACATCGTAATGTCATTTTGAGGTGAAACTCAGTGCTGACTAGACACTATTGGGGCCACAACACATTTGAGATGCCTTGTCTGCTATTTATGGTCAGGACGAGGCATTTTTCTTCTGCCTAACATCTAGACGAGTTTAGGCGAGGCGAGTGCCTAAACGTACTTTTCAAAACCATATACACATATGATTTTCTTTTATATTTTAAATATTTGTAACCACTCAAACAAATGTAACCATGTTAATATTACTCAATTTATCATCCACTAACCGCAAGACAAATATGAGTGGGGAGATAATTTCCTAATTCTCCCACCTCCACTATCGTATTGAACCATCTTAGTCCATTATTAGGCTAACTCCAATGGAGTCTTTATAAATGAGGAAGAACTGGATCCAATAGGTCCCCATAAGTTTAAGCATATTGCTTAAGCCAATCTTATTGGCGGATAGTGGATTAAGTAGTTAAGAGGGGCTAGTAGTTAATAAGTAGTTGAGGATAAATGAGGTATTAGACAAATATAATAAATATTAATAGTTAATAATTTTATTTCTCTCTCCTTCGTAACCTTCTTCATAACCCTCTCTCTCCACTACAATTAAATGAAAATTCGAAATTAAATAAATTAAATATTTGTATTTAATATTTAATAAATTCGAACTTAATATTTTTTCTTTCTTAAAATGAAAATTAAAAATAACTGCTCTCTCTCACTTCGCGACAACTTGCAATTTAATATTAACGTTTTGCAATGTCATTATGAACGTTTATGAAATAAATAATTATTACTATACCTAATCATTATTAACACTTTCAATATACTTATCAATTCCTTACAATTATATTATTAAGAATTTTGGATCAATTGTTACCGTTTTACAATTTTTGTCATTAACGCTTATGGATGAATCATTAAAGTTATATAACATTGTCATTAATGGTTTGAATAACAATATCATTGATTTATAAAAAAAAATTACTAATGATTCACAATTCCACGTCATGTTTATAACTATCCGGTCATGGCCTCTTCCAATGACTTCTAATGTCATTGTTAACATTTTGCAATCAATTGATATTACTTTAAATTATCGTTCTCAATGATCATAAATCACAATATTGATCTCCAACATCTTCGACACTTGTGACATAGTGCATCTGTGATTCAGTCAAACAAACATTGTTAAAGAAAAATCATTGCAATTTGAATGAAGGAGAAAAATGTTAATAATGATAACAAAAACTTTAATCACGACACAATTTAAAATTACGAATTGGTAACTGAAACATTAATAATTAAACTTTCGTAATGGTAACAAAACAGTTGATGACTTAAAAGTAAAAGGTTAAAAATGGTAAAAAAAATTAATAATAAAAATGCAATGAGACCAGATATGTGCTGGTATTAGTATTAAAATAGTTAATAGTTCTAATTGGCATTGAAAAATTTAATAATGTAAATTTATAGTAGAAGGTTAATAATGGTGTAAAACACATTAATAACTTAAAAGTAAATGATTAACAATGGTATCAAATAACAAAATATTATTAGTGGTAACAAAAAATTTAATAACAAAACTTTAATACCGTTAATAACAAAAAATTTAATTATATTACTTATCTGGTCAAATTATATTTATAATGCGGTCCAAGTATTAACATGTTACAAATAAGTTAATAATACAGAGAAAAATTATAATAAAGTTTTAAAAAACTATTAATAATTACCTTGAAAAATTTCATAATCATAAAACAAAAATAAGGTCACTAATGCAAAAGCCGCTTACCATTCGACCATAACAAAAACTAATAGCATCATGCAACATCCATAACAGTTAATACCTGTTTTATTATTAATTCAACATAAATAGAAGTACAATGTTGATAGTCTTACGTAGTTAATAATGTTGATGATCTAAAAAAAACACCAGTGACTATTGCATTATTGTTAAAGAATACATTAGCAATCGGGTGCGCCTACGATAACATGCAGTTTCATGGTGCATAATTTGGAGATTCATATCTTACAATTGGCTTGATAGAAATTGGAGATTAATGGCTTGTTTTGAAGCTGGAGTGTCCCTCTACACATTGAAGTGCTTTGGAGCTCGATAGGAAGTCCAGAAGACCATTTTTGAAACTGATCAAAAGGCTATGCCAAAACTGGGAAACCGCCTGAAAATTGCTAAATCTGGGAAAGTGTTTGTGAAGCGTACTTTGGAGCTCATCAATTCGAGAAGCATGGATGAGACTCGAGTCCAGGAGCCTCTACCACATGAAAGTAGGTATGTTTGTCTACAAAGTCAAGACATTGGATGAAATATTGGATATCTGCAAGGCTTCAAACAAAATGCTCGAAGTTGCTACGAAGTAAGCTGCCTTCTAGAATAAGACTGAAACGACAAATTAGGTCGACATAATCCTATATGAGATCGACCTAAAAGTGCAAGTTACGGTGACTTGCATGTCACCGTAGCAAAATCCTTATCAATATCAACAACAACATTCACGATTACTCGAATTTTCACATTATTAACATTTCAAAGCAATGAATTTACATTTTCATACCTCATTATAAGAGTTTAAAAACATTAACCACTATTCCATTTTTAACACTTCTACCCCGCAACCATAAATATTATCAAAGCCCGTGCCGACGATACATCGTTAACGAATACCCTATCATTATCAACAATAACATTCACGTTACTTTCTAAAAAAAAAAATAACATTCACGTTACTCGAATGCTCACATTTTTAACATTTCAAAGCAATGAATTAACATTTTCATTCCTCACTATTAAAAATTTAAAAACACTAGCCACTATACCATTTTTAGCACTGCTAACGACGATGATATGAATCTACTGATACCTATCACAAAGCCGCGCCGAGGATCCATTTCAACACGAGACAACAGCCGGCCTATAGAAATAGTTTGTGACGGAAAGCTTTACGGCGGAGCGGCGCCGGTCTGCGGATGTTGGGATTTGTGTCCCACGAAGAGGACGGCGATCACGCAGTCGGCCGCGGGCGGACTGCAGAGGGTAGCTGATGGGGTCGCCGACTTCGGTCAATCTGTCGCGGCGGTTCCACTACTTCGGCGGGTGAGAGGTAAAAAAAGGGTTACATTGTCTTTTTGGTTTTCAGCTTTTTATTAACTGTTACTATTCTTCCTAATGCCAAGTTTATCCTTAATAACTATATAACTAATTACCTGCCGAAAACTACTTCCAATACTTCTAGGCTCTAGCCGGGAATGGATCAGGTCAGTAACCTTATGGTGAGTAACTATGAGTAACGCGCCCACATCAGCATGACATCAGCATCCTTTCTCTCCTGGAAAGCCTTTAATTTTCCCCTCCTTAATCTTTGACGGACGATTTCTCACTCGTTTTAAGTCGAAATTTAATTTTTTTTGCACAATTAGATCAGATTAATTGTGCTCTTCAAAATGATATCCACTTTGATATATTTTTCGAACAAAAAAAAATTGAGCCATTTTTTACCAGTCTATACCATATGGTATTGACCGGTATTGAAATAAGGGCATACCAATGGGTTGAAAAGCGTACCATGGTGGTATGAACAAACCAAGACTGTAGGATGATTGAATACATGATAGTAGAAGTATATTAATTGTCATTTACGACTTTTAACATTGTATATCATAAAATACCACCCCGTACCAGGGTGGTATTGTATGGTATTGTGTGGTATTTTTTGTTCTTGTAATTTGTTCACCCAGAAATTTGTAGATCCAATAGATCATGTTGAACTCGTCCCTGCTGTGCAAACGTTTTCGAAAACGAATGAAAAACGAAGAAAATACTATATGGTATGGAGTTGGTACCGAGAGGCCAGAATTTTTTTTTCCTCAAAAAATATTGAAAATTGATCTCATTTTATAGAGCACGATGAACTCGTTCCATCTGTGCAAAAAAAATTAAAATCCGAGTTAAAACGAAAAAGATATGAGTCAATTAAGAAAACTAGTGAAAATAAAAATAGCCTTTAATTCTCAATCCTTAGATCTGAATTTTCTAAATGAAGGGTCCAGATTTGGTTATTGATGGGTGCATAACCCATGGTTATGCACCCTATCTTGAGCCGGCTCTAGCCTCCCAATAGAATTGGTTTGAACAATATGCTTAAACTTTTGGGTTTAAGCACATGAACCCAAGCCCCTGCCTAGTAGCACGTCAACCCTTTTTTTTTTTTTGATGAATCAGTGGGTTCTTATTCATCAAAAGAAACATGCTAGCAACACCCTTGCTAGCTAGGTAAAGTTCAAATCAGAATTGTAACCACTACAAAACCAGCCCCAAAACTACTTCTGATACATGACAAGCTACTCAACCCAGAAGAGATTCACCCTTTCCCTCCCCAGAACATAAACAACTTCAGTTCTGATAACAGCCAATACCTCATTCATGCTCCTGACTTTGCCCCCATACATTCTACTGCACCGTTCACGCCACATCTGACTAATCCAGGACTGCCAAATAAGCCTCCCTGCCTCAGCTTCCTCTGTCTGCTTACCATACTTTACAATCAACCACGAGATCATGTCCTCCCAACGCTGAAACATAGGGATCTTCATACAACCTGTGAACAACATATCAAGAATCTGTCTAGTGAAGGGGCAGAGAGTAAACAGATGCTGCCTACTCTCTACTCCGCCATCACATAAAACACAATTCAAAGGAGTTTGGAGCCCCCATCTCTGCATTTTATCTCTTGTTTGAATACTATCCCTGTTAACCAACCAAGCAATCAAACGATTGCTTGGAATGGCCACTCCTTTCCATAACAGTTTCCACCAGGGAACCCTCTGCTGGGAGGGTCGAATAAGTTGCCATACTCTTCGTATAGAGAAACGAGGCATAGGCACTCCATCCAAAAGCAATTCACCATTCATTCTCGAAATAAAGGGGGCCAGGCCCCTTCTGAGCTTTAGTATTTTGAGCCAGTTCCAAGACCCTGAGGTACTAGTATAATCCCATAAGCTTCTCCCCTTCAATTTGTATTTGTGAACCCATGCCACCCATAAAGACCCCTCCTGGAGCAAAAGCTGCCATATATGCCTTGCTGCACAAGCACAGTTCCAACTGCTCATGTCTCTAAATCCAAGACCTCCCTCTTTCTTTGGATAAGTGATTTTTTTCCAAGCCACATTGGCTCTGAGCTTCACCCCTCTTTTCACTCCCCATATAAAGTTACTACATAATCGCTCCACCTCTCTGATCACTGCCTTAGGGAGAAGAAAGACAGACATCCAAAACTGATTCAGACTAAAAAGCACAGTACCTACCAGCTCAATTCTGCCAGCATAAGACAGCGACTTTGACTTCCAAGAAGTGATTCTAGCAACAATTTTCTCAATAAGAGGTTTACAAGCTGAGGAACTCAACTTACCATATATCAAGGGCACCCCCAGGTACCTAACAGGGAACTCCCCCAGTTTGTAGCCATATCTATCTGCTCTAATTTGCCTTTCCTCTTGAGGAAACCCCCCAAAGTAAATTTCACACTTGCTAGGGTTAGACTTCAGACCAGAAATCTGCCTAAACTGACTCAATATTCTTTGCAGTTCTTGTATCCCATAATTTGAGGCATCACTAAAGACCAAAAGGTCATATGCAAAGCAAAGGTGGGTGAGGTTTATCCCCTTACACATGGGGTGAAAGGGGAATCTACCAGCAGCGGCAGACTGGTCAATCAAACAGGTAAAGACTTCCATGGCTACTGCAAATAGGTAGGGAGACAGAGGGTCTCCCTGCCTAAAACCTTTTTTAGCAGAAAAGTAGCCCACAAGACCACCATTAAAACATACACTCAACATTGGAGTGCTAACACACATTCTGATCCAAGTAATAAATCTCTCAGGTATCCCCATACACTTCAGGACTTGAAAAGTGAAGGACCAGTCAACCGAGTCAAAAGCTTTCATGAGGTCGATTTTTAAAGCACACCTAGGGGAGATATTGTTATGAGAATACTTGCTGACCAGCTCATGTGCCATTAAAATGTTTTCACCTATCAACCTCCCTTTAACAAAGGCAGTTTGGTTTTTACTGATTAGGTCAGGGAGAAGGGGACTCAATCTATTAGCAATAAGTTTGGAAATGCACTTATACAGTATGTTGCAACAAGATATGGGTCTGAAATTCTTCATTTCATCAGGGTTGGGGACCTTAGGGATCAGTGCTAAGATGGTGGCATTCACTTGCCTAGGTAATCTATCCTGTTCAAAGCAGTATTGGATAGAAGCTGTTACCTCTGGACCAATAACTGGCCAAGCATATTGGAAGAAGGCCGCAGAAAAGCCATCTGGACCAGGGCTTTTATCCCCATCCATTTTGAAAATGACCTCTTTAATCTGCTCCTCTGTGAAGAGGCACAGATTCCTTCAGTTTTCTCTTTAGTGATCTTCCACTTCAGCAAACCAGATATATACCTGTCTGATTGAACCACTACCTCAGGGTCCTCAATTCCAAGAAGATTCTCATAAAATCTCACTGCAATTTGTGACATCTCATCTACATCCTGAACTCTTTCCCCTTGCTCATTTCTCAGGACTCGAATAGTACTTCTCTTCTGCCTAGTCCTTAAGGATCTATAGAAATAAGCTGATTTAGAGTCTCCTGTTTTCAACCAATATTCCCTTGACTTCTGGCGAAGAAAGGACTTCTCATCACAGTATAGCACTCTCAACTCCTGTTCCAGCTGAGACATTTTGGTAAAATTCTCAGGTGATGGATTATACAATGCCTCCTGCTGGATACTTTTGACTTCTGCTTCTTTGCCTTTGACCCTCTCCCTTATATCTGAGTACTCCTCTCTGTTTAACTTCCTCAACAGGTTCTTCAAATTTTTTAGCTTCTTACAGACACGAATGAGGGGATGACCAGTCACCCTACTCTGCCATGCTTCTGCCAGAAGTTCATCGAATTTTGGATGTCTCAGCCAGAAACTAAAAAACTTAAATGGTTTTGGCAGAGACTTCATGGAAGCACAGGTATCAACATAAAGTGGGCAGTGATCAGATACCCCAGGGGCTTGAATATGAACTTGACTATCTTTCATCTTATCCAGCCATTCAAAATTGACCAGGACTCTATCTAACCGCTTTGCTATTGGATTAGCCGATTGCTTGTTCAGCCAGGTAAACCATGGACCCGAGGCTTGGTGCTCTTCCAACTCCAGATCAGTGATCCAGTCATTAAAAACCAACATTTTAGAATCTACAACTGGAGAATTAGATGCCTCTGAAGAGTTTCTAACATCATTAAAATCACCCAAGACAATCCAAGGAGCATTTGCCACTTTAATTCTTCTCAACTCATTATACATCTCCCTTCTATTGCTCTCATCATTCGAAGCATACACCACAGTGCCAAAGAACATGTGCAGCCCCCCTACCATAAATTGTATGAACTGATCAGAGGAATGCAAAACAGCAAGCTGAATCTCACTCCTCCAGAGTAACCAAATCTTCCCCAATCCATTTGAGTTGTGTTGAACTCTCTTTTTCCAATCTGGGAATCTCTTCTCAACTAGCTTGTCAGTCTGAGAAGATCTTATTCTAGGCTCTAGTATAGCAACTATGTCTATATTGTACTTATTTATTTTCTTTAATATAGCTGTATATTTACCTTCTGCCTTAAACCCTCTCGTATTCCAGGTGAGGAGCTTCATCTCTTACCCCTTCCCTTCCCACCTTTTCCTCCTCTTCTTGGTTGAATAGGCACCAGAGGAGAATCAATCCATACTCTTTTTCCTTTATCTATTAATGGCTGCCTGTTTTCCTTCCCTTTATCCCCTTGAGATGTCTGAGGTCGAAGGCTCCCAGTCAATGGTGACCCACCACTCACAGACTTTTGCTCAACAGCAACATGACTCCCACCTACAGGCGATGATCCCATCACTATTTGAGCAAAGCTCAAAGGAGAGGCTCCAGATGAGACAGGAGCTGGGATGGCCATATTCTGGTTCTTCACAATCTCATCAACAAGTTCAGAGTCTTCAGTCTTCTTCTCAGTGTCTAACGCAGCATCCAATACAATAGCCTGACCTTCCTCTGTACCTCCCCCCAACTTCCTGCCCCTCAATTTCTAAGCCCAGTTGACCACCATTTGTAACAATCTCTTCAGCAACCTGTACCTCCTCTCCAGCACACTGAATCTGTGCAACTGTTTGCTCCACCTCACCTCCTGAAGTCTCACCTGGACCACTTCCCTCAGTTACCAGCTCCCCTTGACCACAGTCAGCAACAACAGTCTGCTCAGCCCCCTGCAAATCAACTTCCTTAGCCCTCCACTGCTGCACAGGCTCTGGCAAGCAACTATGACCAAATAATCGACACTTAGAGCACACTTTCGGAAGATGTGCGTACTCCAAACCAATATCAAAGGCAGAATCATTATCCGGATAGAATCGAGCCTTAGCCGGGAATCCACAATCAGCTGCTATCTCCACACAAACCTTCACAAACCCCAATTGAGCACCCACTCTCGTCTTCTGATCAGTCCAGAGCGGCTTCCCAATGACACTCGCAACCCATTCAACCCCATCGCTACCCAGATATTCCAACAGTAATCCTCTAATCGTAACCCAGATCGGCAATGTTTCAACCTGCGGAACAATTGGCTGGATGCCCACTTCCCATTTCCTGAAAAAAATTGGGTTCCCCTTGAAGTGCCACGGCCCCGATGTAAAAACCCATTCACATGAAGAAGGGGAAGGAAATTGAAAAATCAGCATCCTCGGACCAAAACGCGAGACCCGCACAGTGCCATCTCTCCCCCATAGCTTATTCGCCCATGACTGGAGCTCTGCAACCTCCGGCCGCTTCCCGACGAACTGCCCCACAAGAGCATCCTGCCATCGTTCCGCGCCCTTCTCCTTAACCTCTTTCGGAATCCTAAAACCATCGTTGACCCTCTCTGGGGGGCGGAAGGTGAGCCTCTTCTCTGGAGCAACAGAAAAGAGCTTGACCCAGGAGTTGGAGCCCTCGCCAGCCGGAGAAGCCGGCGAGGCGGCCATCGCCGATTTAGGGTTTCTTCAAAGAACAAAGGAGAGAGAAAAGAGGAGAGAGAAAATTGTATTTAGAAAATGTTTTCTTTTCTAAATACAATTATGCGTTTAATTATTGGTTAGATTTGGGGTTAAGGATGAAATTAATGGTTGTTTTAAGATAATAAAAGTATAAAACTAATGGTTGTTTTAATGTTGGGGTTAATTGTGAAAATAATTGTTAATTTTGAAAATAATGGTTAATTGTGAAATTCGAGATTAATTTGACGTCGTCAAAATATTTAAAAGTATGTTTATTCGATAAAAATTAATTAAATTAAATTCATTCTATTTACAATTTATGTTTATCATCTTGAAATTGTGTGTAAACAAAAATTAGAAAGATAGAATAATAAAAAATATATTATTGAAATGTAAATGCGTTCTTGAATTACAAAACAATACAAAAATCCTTGAAATGTAAATTCGTTCTCGAAATTTGAAAAAAATTATTGAAAATTTTGTATTTAAAAATGATGATGAACTATACAAAAATTAATATGAAAAAATAATATTAAAATTATCAAAAGTACATTTTTAACTAGGAAAAAAATCTCCAAGAGATGATAATATTGAAACAAAAATAATAAAAATGAGGACAATCACCAAATTTTGGGACTAGTATTCAAGTTGGTCTTACTATTCAAATGCTTCTCGCTCCTCCCCGGCCCATTATGATTCACTGTAACATGTAAACACAAACGGGCTGACCGTCTGTTATGGGCTTTCTAAATGGCAAAGCTCAAAAGAGAAATGCAAAGGAAAAAGGAAAGATATTATCCCGGCGCAATATGCGGTCTAGAACTCTTCAGAATCCATGTCGCATCAGGATAAGTCCCCGCTTCTTGCGAAGGTAATAATTATCGAGTGATGGACGAGTAAGCGGGTTGAGTGAGCCAAACCCCAACAGAACAGAATCGCGGATCAAGTTGAAATCAGAGCCTGCTCCTGCCAAAAAGGTAGGCGATGAACAATTGATGGGGATGGCTATGGCAGCATGATCGAGCTCCTGAGATCAACGCATGGTCTTAATAACCCTACCCAACAGATTAAAACAGGTAAGAACACAGAATTAGTGGATGAAGGCAAAAACTTTAATGGCGTGATTAAGAAAGGGGAGGAAGATAATTGACTAGTGAGAAGGGAGTGGGGATGATGTGTCTGTGTGCAGGAACAGGGGAAGAAGGTCCTACGAAAATGGGGGATGGTCCCAAATCTGGGGTCGATGTTTAATAGAATTAGGTTTGGGGGTTACCAGTTGGGAAACGACAGAGGGCCTCCACTACTCTAACTGCTGGGAGTTGTGCTAGAAGAAGTGAGCAAGCCTGCCTGGCTTTGGCTGGCCCCTGACTCATAATATTTAACGCTCTACTCTCCTTGCCACTATCTTTACAGTTTCTTGACCCATAAACGGAGGAGACGTCGTCAGGCGAGGGAGGGAAGCGGGATGTGGCTGTTCAAGAAGAATGGGCCATCTGGGTTCTCTTCTTCTTCCACTGCCGAGCAAGTCACTTCTGGGATTGATGCCTCTTCTCTCACCGCCATTGTTACAGGTTCTTTTGTTATCCCCCGTTTCTTTTCATTTCCTAAGTGTGTTGCATATTCGAACTCATGTGTCTAAGTAATGGAACGAAAGAAAGACGAATTGGGAAAGGGGTCTGTGGTGTTCGATGTTTCTTGTGGTAGATTCATCAGGTTGTAGGGGAGTGGGTAATGGGGCCTCTTGTGGGTTCGGTTTCTGCCGACATGGTTCTGTTGATATGTTCATGGTGGAACGTTGTTCCCTTCTTTTGGAATTGTGGCCTGCCCATTTCTGGAAATCCAACTTCATTTATGGGCTGACACCTCCCCATCTGAAGTTAGGCGTAGAAGTATATATGAATGTTTTTAGCAAAGGGATCTCCAACTCTGGGTTGTACACTGTCTATAAAAAGTTCACCTTTCAGGTTGATGGTGGGTTTTTGTCATTCTTGAATCTGGATTTCGGGGGTTTGCTTCTTTCCTTAACTGACTATCTCTGCTTGCCGGTAGGACGATTTTGATGGAAAACAACTGCGGAAAATGAGCACAGTTGACTTGGAGCCGTTTAAGTTGTATTTCTCTCATGTGCTGATAAGGAAATTATGACTTTGTTTTGTGCTGACTATCAATTTCACTGTTCTCTTGTTGGTTAATATAGGAGCATCCAGTGGGATTGGTGCTGAAACAGCTCGTGTTTTGGCAGTGAGGGGAGTTAATGTAGTCATGGGGGTAAGGAATATGGATTCAGGTAAAAAAGTGAGAGAAGAAATTGTTAAACAAGCCCCCTCTGCCAAAGTTGATGCCATGGAATTGGACCTCAGTTCTTTGGCCTCCGTCCGGAAATTTGCCTCAGCTTTCAACTCCTCTGGTCGTCGTCTCAACCTTCTTATGTATGTACAACACCACTAGTATTTATTGTTAAACATATGTTACCTCATTCCCCTTACTTTTTTTGTAGATGGATTACTGAACTCTCCACTTTGGTTTACTTGAAAGTAACAATGCAGGCGTTATGGCAACCCCCTTCACACTTTCCAAAGACAAGATTGAGCTGCAGTTCGCAACTAATCATTTGGGTATGCTTTTGGTTCATAATCTAGTCTAGTGATTAGTTTCTGGGGGCTTTTTCAGTAGTAAAGATGATTAAAACGCTGCAGGTCATTTTCTCCTGACCAATCTACTGTTGGAGAATATGAAAAAAACTGCTGTCGAAAGTAAGAAGGAAGGAAGGATTGTAGTGGTTGCGTCAGAGGCTCACCGAGCTACATATCCTAACGGCATCCGTTTCGATAAAATTAATGACAAGTCAGGGTAATTATGCTGTCATACATCAACCACTGCATGAATTTTCCATAGTTCATCCCTCACCAGGTCTTATGCAATTTGATTGTCTAATTGTTTTGCTCAAACTTAGTTCCAGTTTGTGCGCAAGATGTCTAATGGCCATCTTGTAATAATTTTCTGAGTGAGCTTTGGTTTCTGGAATGCACTTAAGTTAATATAGTGGATCTTCGTCCATCAACTCACGAGTTTCGACTGTTTGGCTGGCATTAGACGGAATTCTATTCTATATTAAGCTTCATGGGCTGCAGTTTCTTAGTTTTTCTGCAAATAACTTTCCAAACAGCCATAGGGACGGTGAAGACTTTGGTCATTTTGCGTAACATTCAGAATCTAGTGCGTCATTTTCATGCATGGTTCAATATATTGACTTCAGAGTGAAAAAGAAGTTCTTGGTTTTACCTGTGTACAGATATTCCTCTTACCTTGCATACGGGCAATCAAAGCTTGCTAATATCTTGCATGCAAAGGAGCTTTCCAGACGTTTAAAGGTACAAGCTTGTTAGTACCATATTTCAATTAAATGATGTGAATTGCTCTGCAATCGAATGCCTGTTCAATTGAAATAAACATGTCAACTAGAGTAGCATGCGCTTTTGCTAAAGAATGATCACCAATTGTCTTAATAAACAGGAAGAAGGGGCAAATGTAACTGCAAATTCTCTTCATCCAGGAGTAATTGCCACCAATCTTTTCCGTCACATGACTCTCATCTCTGGTATTTGCCTTAATACGAGTAATCTCTTACAGATTTCTTTCTTACACGGTCTCTTAAAAATCATAAAGTACATACAGTTCCTGTGGTTTCAGGCGTAATCGAAGCAGTTGGTAAGCTTGCATTCAAGAATGTTGAGCAGGTGAGTCATCATTGACCCTCCTTGGTTAGTTTGAATCCCCATTAACCCGAACTGTCTTGGTGTTCAAAATGGTTGATTCATGATCTGCAGGGTGCAGCTACAACCTGCTACGTCGCATTGCATCCACAGGTGAAAGGGATAAGTGGCGAGTATTTCTCTGACAGTAATTTGTCGAAACCAACCTCTTTTGGGCAGGATGCTGCCTTGGGAAAGAAGCTATGGGACTTCAGCATGGAGTTGGTCAAGTAATCATCCATGAAAAAGCCACAGATTATTACAGGACCCTTCAAAAAATAAATGTTTTTTTTTTCACGACAATTATTTATATCCAATCTCTCCTTGTTATCTTTATTTTATAGAAAAGCATGAAAGATAGAAAATACTAGTAGAAGTAATTGTCTCGAAGCACCAGAGACTTTCAGCTGACCTCTACAGTTCCTCATGTATATGGTAATGGAAGTTGCTGGCTTACGAGTAAAAGTCGAGATTTTCAATGGACAGGTGTTTGTAGCGTATTAAGGGGTTCATGAATTTACTGGACATCTCAAGGTCGTGTAAATGTATGGATTTGTGTAGTGTGATTCCTTATATAAGAGTTTAGTATGCAGTGGCGTTGTGCAGGGATAACTTGAGTCCCAAGAAACACCTATGTTCTAGTTGGCAATGGTCTATCTCAATTACCTGCAGAATGACAGATAAGAGCAGAAAAATCATGGGAATCAACAGCTTCGCATCGTCCATATACTCTTAGTGGTGTGTACATACAACAACAAATTCAGTTTCCAACAGAAAACAGAGTTCAGTTATACAACAGGACAGTTATAAGAAGCCAGCAAGATAGATATGCACAAGGCTCCATTTCCCAAACAGATTCTTCAGTTCCAATTGGCACATTCACTTCACTTTATCCAACTTCTGTACATCAATCTGAACAAAACTTAACAAAGGCGCCAAATTCCCTTCTCCGTCTTCTGTTATCTCACTGCGATCTTCTAAAAGAATATACCTGCCTTGCATTCCAAGCTAACCAACTGCCACACATTGGAACAATGCAGCCACAAGCTGGCCCTAGTAAATCGACCCAAAATAACATTACCAGAAGAACCTAGCATCAGCCAGCTTAGCATTGTTCTCTCTCTCTCTCTCTCAAGTCTGAACCAACCAACCTTATTCCTCATTTCCATCCTCACGTGACCTTATTGTTTACATTAGCATCCTGACAGAAAAGAATCCCAAAAGTTGGATAAATTGATCCTGTTAGAACCAAAAAATACCGTCCTGGAGAGGCTAGCTCAGAAGTTACTCCGATAGGGTAGTAGGATCGCCAAAAAACTATGAATGGAAGTTAGATACCGTCGGTGGTCCGGCTGGGCAAAGGCGACTTAGGGCTAAGGTCCAAGGGTGTATTCAACTTCGAATGATCCTTCAAAAGCTGGCGAGATACCCGATCAGCCAACACCAACTGCCCATCATAAGTTTCCCCAAGAGCTAGTCGTGGCCCTAGCTCGGACATGTTAGGCCCATTCCCAGGCTGCTGCATTCCTCTGAAAATATCGGTCTCATGATATGATGAGCCATTTGGGTACATACCATTTGATGTTGGCTTTGATATGTTTGCATAAGTTCCATCTTGGAAATAAACCAAGTGTTTCATGTGATTGAAAGGAATAGCACCGATGCCACCTGTAAGAGGTGTTGAAGAGCCTGAGGTTGTTCTGGGGCTAGATATTGGCGACGGAGACATTCTTCCATTAAGATGTTGTGGAGACCTTGAATGCAGAAGAGGACTACCAATGGGCGAGACTGGGCAAGATATGTTCCTTGGGATATGGATATCGCTACAAAATTCAAAAGCTTAAATCATGTCAAAAGCTTAGTTCCGAGAAAAAATGTGTGTCGGTGCCTTGTTCGTGTGAGTGTGAGGGAGTAAGAGATAGTAAGAGAGAGAGAGACCTGGCATGAAGGCCGCTTCTGGAGACTCTAGATGAATGAACAGCAAGTCTCTCTGTATCCAAGGTAGGGAAATTTCTAGCTTGACTAATTCCCTGAAACATTATCAGATCCCGCAATTCAAGAAAAAGGACTTGATAATTGGTTTGCAAGTAGAATCTCACTGAAGCAAAGTATTGACAATTTAAACCAGGGAAAGTTTATGAACAAATACCAGAGCTTTCACCCCGTTGGTCAAACCAGGGGGTGTATCTGTAAATTCAGGGCTGGGTAGAGATCTTTCCACAGGTGCAGCAGATTTGACAAATGGGTGGTCCAAAAGCTGGGCGGCGGTAGGACGATGTGATGGGTTCCTTTGCAAGCATTGCCTGACAAAATCCTTTCCTTCATCCGAGAGTTGATCCGGGATTGCAGGGAGATCTTTACTATTTCCAATCTTAAACATTGCAGCAACCTTAAAAAACAGTAATGATTCCATTATCAAGAAGATGAACACAACAGAGTAAATCATATTCCACTACTTCTGTGTTTCAAGGCACACCAAGTAGAATAAGAGGCTTGACCGCGTCCTATTAGGATTTTCATAATCATAATCGATAGACTATTTACCCCTTCGAACTGGCTCCATGGTGGTTTAGTTGTAGCCATTTCCAGAACAGTACATCCAAGACTCCATATGTCCACAGCAAGGTTGCAGCCACTTGAGTTTTTTATAACCTATGAGAGATGAGGGATATGAATAATGAGCACGATCTGTTAAGGGCATAGCACTTAAAAAAACACAAGAAAAATGCTGACCTCAGGTGCCATCCAATAAGGGCTTCCCTTAAAAGATAAAGGACATGACTGCCCAGTGATCTGCAAAACAAAGATGGTAAGTCTAGATAGCACGAATTCAATACACAAACACTATGCCCTCCTAGATCAAAGCTTGCTCTTTTCTTACATGCTTTGCCATCCCAAAATCTGCCAGTTTAACACGGCCATTTGGATCCACAAGAATGTTTGCTCCTTTAATGTCTCTGCAAACCAAATACCAAGGGGGGAGTGAGCAATGTCAAAGCTCAGGGAAACTAACTGCATCTGGTTAACAGATATAACTTGGTTCACCTATGTACAGTGCTTTTGGAATGTAAAAATGCCAGGCCAGACAAGATTTGCTGGGTGTAGCTACGAATTGCCAGCTCGCCCAACTGACCATAGTCCTGGAGAATTTTATAGATAGACCCACCAGATACATACTCCAGATATATGTATAGTTTGTCATCGACTTGCTCTGACCCATAATATTGCACAATGTTTGGATGCCGTAACCGGCTCAACAAAGCAATTTCCTGTTACAAAGCTCAACAGTAAGAAATTCCCTTTAAGATTATAGAGGGTGGACAAAGAAAGACCACAGAGTTCAATGTACCTGCATTAATTGTTTGGCACTCTCGCGTGACTTGGCATCATCTGAAAATAAGGTCACCTCCTTCATTGCACACATTTCACCACTTTCACTAAGCAATTCAAAGGCACAGAATCAGATATTAATTTAACGGTTTTGCTACATGATCAAAATAAGGAAGATAAAGTTTCGACTTTCAAGAAAGTAAAATAATCAAGTGACAACCTCAGCTGAAAATTCTAGTGTTCTTTATGCTGAATAAATTCAAAAGTTCACACTTTTCATGCAACATAGCAAATTACTACAAGGAGATAGCCCAAAATGTGATTCTTTGAAGTAAATTGTAGCTAGATATGTAAGCGTCATACCTGTTAAAGCCAACATAAACATGGCCAAATGTCCCTCTACCTAGCAATTTCCCCTTCTTCCAGCGTGATCCAGGACTTGTTGGATTTTCCGCCCTTCCTGGACTTCTTGGCACAGATGGAGATGTGGCAGTTGAGTTGGGATGAGAGAAAGGAGACGAATTGGAAATGGTAACAGGAGGAAGTGGTAACCGATGAGTTTGTTGTTTTCCATCCTCAGGCCAGCTTGTTTGTGACTCAATAGTGCCACTACCTCCTGCTCTGGGGTGTATAGGTGTGACAGCACCACTTTGGACTCTGGAACTGGGGCCCGGGCTAGCCATTCGAGGACTCGGTATCGGAGAACATTCAGGGCTACCTCTGGTTTGGTACCAGAATAGCTGGCCTGTCATGTCCCCTCCCATTGAATTTTGTCCAGAGTTGTAACCGGATCCAGGGCTAGAACAATGGCCAGATCCAAGCAATGTGACGTCGGTATAAGGCCTCCCAGCCCACAGAGCAGAATTAGCAGCATGATCAGTTCCAAAACCTCTCAATGGACTTCTTGAAGGACTTGACATTGAACTGTCAGGAGCACTACAGAAAGCACCGTGATGGGGAACCTGCAGATTTGGCACATGACCTCTTAGAGGTCTCCTGTTGGGTGATGTGGGAGTGGTGAAAGTACACAAAGAGAGCTTTGCTGGTTTTTTCGCCTCTCTTGGCTTCATAATTGATGCAGTAGAGGCATGATCCTTGAGCACCCCACTTCAGAATGACAAGGGGAAATTTTGGTCACGGATGAGAAAAAAGAATAAATAACTACAATAATGATAACACATTAACAATAGTATCGCATAGAAATATCACTTGGCCTCACCTTGAAGGGCTGCTGACCGTTGTTCTTGTTCCAAGGTCACAGTCAGTTGCCCGAGGACTAGGTTGATTAAGATCAACAGGATCATCAATATCAGTTGAACTTGCACTTGAGACTGATGCAGTGATCAAATCTCCATCTAAATCTGCCTGATTCGATTTATTCCGGATGCAGGCAGGTCTAGGTAGAGGCAAAAAAGACTTAGGGGCTTTCTCCAACCTGGGTTTTGTGGTTACACCAAGCTCAGAATCTGCACGCCCCACAGCTGCAGGATGAACTCCAGGACGAGGAAGTGGTTGCGCACTAAGCCTTTCAGCAAAACTTTGACATCTAGAGACATGTTTGGAAGGAGGAGATGGTGATCTGGAATCAGGCCGAGATTGTGCTCCCATCTCTGACACGGTGTCATTTAAATGTCTCCTGGAAACTCCTGATCTACTGCTTAATTTACCATCAGATGGACTCTTGAATCTCCGGTGCAATGTATCAATGAAACTTTCCTTGCTTCCTTTCTTCTTCACTTCTTTAGACGACGACTTCCCCCACCACGGACGCATGTTTCCCCACTTCCAGGAACCTAAGCTATCACTCAGACTAATAGTCCTAGTCTAATCACATTCGCACCTAGTTTAAGGAAATCCACAAGCACGGATTACAAAACTCAAGGGCAAAAAGAAAATGATTCAAGTTCACTGCAAATATTAAGCAAGAACCCAAAATTTACCATAAACGATTAACCTGCATAGAGAAGAAGTAGCAGGGCATGTTCAGCATAAGCATCTCATCCTATAGGCTTTTCCATATGACCTCCACCCAAGGCAGAAACAGAAGTGTGCAGCTAGAAAAACTACCTCTTTAATACTCTCAAATACCGAACTGAAACTCCAAATACACCCAACTGCCCAACTGCCAAAACAGCTATCAATCCGGAAAGAGAAAAGGGGAAGTCCTAGATAGCCTTCATAACCCAGTACCCACTACACTACAGCGAAGGAAAAGCCCATTGCTAGCATTTCACAACAATAACTTAGCCTCCACCTCAACAAGTAATCAAAACCAGTTCCTGCCCTTAAAATTCACCACTCATCCGAAGTAATGGGCTTCACTCAGTCATCCTTTCATTTCCCCTTCTGTCTGAAGCCAAACAACCCATCACAATCGCAACCACCCTAAACGAGAAAGCACAACCACCTCATCAGAAGCAGATCTAAACCCCAGAAATTGAGAAGCACAACAAGGTAAAAAAAATTCACAGACGATCTCCAAACACCTCGAAATGAACTGAACCAGGGGACTGTAAAAAGAACCCACCAAAAAAGAACACGGGAAGGCAGAAAAGAAAGGAAATTTGAACTCATTTCACATGCCTGAAGCTGTGAAGCTCAACTCCTCCTCTGAGTAATTGATCAGAGCGCGAAACTGGAGGCGGGGAGAGGGAAGGTAATGCAAATCCTTCGCTGGGACAGTGCAGGGAAGCCCTAGGTATTTGAGAAGAATGGGATCGGCAAGAACGATTCGGGGAAGAAGGAAGTGCCGGGATTGCTGTGAATTGATGGGAGTTTGTGAAAAAAGATTGCGGAAGGTAAGAAGAAGAAGAGTAAGAGAGGTGGGATTTGATGAAAGAAATGAGAAAGAGAGAGAAAGTAGAGAAAATTAGGAAGAGAGTAATGTTCGACTACTGACATCTCTTTTTTTTTAATGAAAATATTAATAGTTTATTTATATATATATTATTTATATTTCTTTCATTTTCATTGTTCTGTTTCTTGGTTTTTTCTGTAAACTTTTGCTCGAATAATCGCTTTCCGGTTCCCTTTTATTCTCTTTACAATTGTTTTCCAAATTTGATCACTTATTATTAATGCAAAAGCATCCTAAATGTATTATTGGTTTAGTGTACATGTTTAAACACTCGGATTGATTGTGATTCTAGAATACTTCACAAGTTGATACAAGTAATTGATAAATGAGTTGATTGTGATTCTCATGTATAGTGTTCGTGAAAAAGCTGTATGCATCATATGAACAGACAACAAACGACCGGGATCATTCAATAAGACGGTATGAACACGATATCAAGGCAAACCCATGGAAATATCTATTTAGCAATGAAAAGTAGACACTACGTAACTTTATTTCACTGAAGGGCGTAGTAAACGACGAAATGCTTTGGGGAGTTGAAAATAAGCGTAGATTCGGAGATTTCCAAATAGGTCAACCTTTCAAACTGCTGAATCCATGGGCAGGCAAGAGACAACCTGGCGAACTGAAACATCTTAGTAACAAGAGGAAAAGAAAGCAAAAGCGATTCTCGTAGTAGCGGCGAGCGAAATGGGAGCAGTCTAAACCATGAAAACGGGGACGTGAATTTTGTATAAAAAAAATTAACGTGATTGGTGCTATGAAACATTCGATTAATGCTCGAGTTCGGTTTGATGGCCACTTGAATTTGACCTGAACATCAAAATTAAGGTGTATATTCATTGCATCCTTATGGGGATCGACCTGTTCACGTGACATTACATGAGGAACGACGAACTTTCGAGGATTGACATCAATCAACTAAAATTATATCTATTAATATAAGTATAAGAGATTTAAGTAAGGGTTACAAACTTAAAAATGCACTAATCAAACATAATTTTTTTAACAAATGCACTAATATCACGAACCGAAGATATATTTTCCCATTCACACATGATGATAACCTATTAAAAAAGTATGAATAATTTTTACTAAAATATCATAATAGTGAGAGAGTGAGTGCGATTCCGGTGACTGAAGGTTTTTGTGCATTCCCCGTTGCCGGCTCCGGCATCTGCGCCGGAGCAGCTCCTGCTCCCCTCTTATTCTGTTCTTATGTGTGACAAGAGTGCTGCGGTTTCTACTCAGGCATCAGAGGGACTGAGTGGTGATCCTCGGGGGATTCCTTCGAAATCCTGGGCGTCGTTATTTGGAATCTCTGAGGCCAACCGCCTTACGTACATTCCGCCTGAGATTGTCAATGGAGGATTGCGGATGCCTAAAGCGATCCGTGAAGCGGGAGCGGCTTGTTGAAAAAACAGCCTTGTCGGCCAATTTCTTTAATATCCGCCCCCGCTATACGTTCTGCGTCGATGGGTCAACAAGCTTTGGGGGCGGGATGGTCTGGTTAGGGTTTCTCTGTTATACGATAAGATGTTGCTGATTCAATTGCATAATCAAAAGGTTTGCGAGTGGATTCTTGAGAATTGTCTGTGGTTTTAGTTCAATAATTTGCTTTATCTTCGACCTTGGTGCCTGGTATTAGTATCAAGGATCTGGGAAGGAAAGCTTTGCCGATTTGGATGAATTTAGCGAATGTTCCCTTAGAGTATAATGATTTTCAGGGACTGAGCAAAATAGCAAGATGGATTGGGGTTCCACTGGGGATGGATCATACTACTCGAATGGGAGACAGACATGGATTTGTCAAAGTCCTGGTGGAGCTTACACTGGATAGTGATTGTCCTGATCATGTACTTCTGTGGCTAGATGATGATTCGTTTATCCGTATTGGGGTCACTTACTGCAATTTGCCCCCCAGTATGTCAAGTTTGTCATCTATTTGGGATCATACTACTCGAATGGGAGACGTACATGGATTTGCCAAAGTCCTGGTGGAGCTTACAATGGATAGTGATTGTCCTGATCATGTACTTCGGTGGCCAGATGATGATTCATTTATCCGTATTGGGGTCACTTACTGCAATTTGCCCCCAGTATGTCAAGTTTGTCATCTATTTGGGATCACTGGCTCATGTGTTGCACATCAGGGTAAGAAATGGGTGACAAAACCAGTTCAGACAGAGCAGGTAGTTAGCATTGATCAGGGGCAGGCTGCTATGGTTGAGGAAGTGTGTTAGGAAGCAATTGTTGATATTCAAGCTGCAAGTGAAAAGGGTAAGGAGGTGGTAGTATATGATGATGACCCCCAACTGACGACCATATTTACTAGTCCAGTATCAATGGGGGGAGGCTAGATTGCTCCACATAACTTAGAAAAGTCATTTCAGGAGGTGGCTACTTCTTCTTCGCCTAAATTACCCTCTGAGGATGAATTTCAGAGAGTTGTAAGGGGGCTTGACCTCGGGTCTGGCTCTCTCAGGATAGTTCAAAGGGCATTCAGGTTTCTAACTCATCTTTCAGTGTATTAGGAAAGCTTGGTGATAGAGAAGCAAGCAAGGTTCAAGATGCTCGAAAGAAAAAGAAAGTTAAAAAGGATATGAAGAAGGGTGGGGGGAAACCCCCAACTTCGAAATGATAGTTTTATTCTGGAATGTAAGGGGGTTTAATAAAAACTCCAAACAGAGGGACTTGTTGCAAGTCCTACGTAGGAATAAAGTGGATGTAGTTGCAGTTCTTGAGACTAGAGTACAGGCTAGTAAAGCTGAGGAGGTGGAGGAGGAGGTTTTTGCTGGATGGGAGAAATGTCTCAATTGCTTTGACTCAAATTTGGGTCGTGTCTGGCTTTTTTGGGATCCTGCAATTAAGATTCGGATCCTCAAACCAAGGAAGAACTTCATACACTGCTTGGTAGAGGAATTAAACAGGGATAGCTTCTTTCTGACTGCTGTTTATGCTTCTAATGATGAGGTGGAGAGGCAGAGCACTTACAAGGAAATTTCGCAATTACAAGTCATTGGTCATCCTTGGATAGTTGGGGGTGACTTTAATACTGTTAGAGTTCCTCAGGAGACCTCAAATCAGCCATCTTCTACTCAAAGCATGAATGATTTTAATCACTGGATTGGGGAGATGGAATTGGTGGATTATAGAACTACGAGTCCGCAATTCACTTGGACTAACAGGCAGGCTCATCATCCTATTGCCAGGCGGTTAGACAGAGGGTTGGTTAATCTGGACTAGATAGAACATTTTAAGGATTGTGATGTGGAGGCTCTCCCTTCACAATTTTCTGATCATTGTGGAATACAAGTCTGTACAGTTGCACCAGTGAAGTCATTACCTAAACCTTTCCGTTATTTTGAGTTTTGGGCGGACCATCTGCGATTCCTGGATATAGTAGCAGAAGCATGGGGCACTGAGGTTTTAGGCCACCCTTGCAAATTCTACAGGGTAAACTGTCCAGAGTTAAACAGGCTCTCAAGAAGTTTAATAAAGAAGTCTATGGTGACCTGCAGGATAAAGTAAAGGAGGCTGAGGTTGAACTACTGAAAGTTTAAACCAGAGCTTACTCGGATCCTACCTCAGAGCACTTTGAGGCTGTTACACTTGCAAAAGATCACTATGATCATGTCTCTTTAGCTTATGAAAGTTTTTGTTGGCAGAAATCTAGGGTGTCTTGGTTAACAGTGTGAGATCAGAGCTCACGTTTCTTTCATCAGGCTATAAAGATTCGCAACTCCAAAAGGGCTATCAAGAAGCTGGTGAAGGAGTCAGGAGGGGAAATTTTTCAATCGGACCAGATTGTTGAGGAAGACATTGGGTTTTATAAAAAGTTACTGGGGGAGGCAAATCTGGAGATTAACCATGGGAAGAAGGAGGTAGCTCAATTGGTCCGTCATCACATTCCAGCTTCTGACTGTGAGAATCTTGTCAAAGACATCACACCAGAGGAGATTAGGAGTGTGGTTTTTAGCATGAATCCCCAGAAAGCTCCAGGGTCGGATGGGTTTTCTGTTGGTTTCTACAAAAAGGCATGACCAATTATTAGAGATGATGTGATCAGAGGGTTTATCTACTTCTTTCAAACAGGTAATCTTCCTAGTGGAGTAAATGCTACTACTGTTTCATTGATTCCCAAAGTTTCGAATGCTGACACTTTGAAGAATTTTAGACCCATCTCGTGTGTGAACCTTTTATATAAAATAGTGGCTAAGATTCTTGCTAGGAGGATTAGTGAGGTTATGCCTCTGATTATCAGTAACACTCAATCAACATTTGTTAAGGGGAGAAGCATAATGGATAATATATTGCTGGCTCAGGAGTTGGTTAGTGGGTATAACATGAGTACTTTATCTTCTAGATGCGCAATAAAATAGATATCATGAAAGCTTTTGACTCGGTTAGTTGGAATTACCTGTTTCTTATGATGTATGTCATGGGATTCCCTGAGAGGTTAATGAAATGGATCAAGGCTTGTTTGCAAATTGCCCATTACACTATAAGCATCAATGGAGGCCTTTGTGGCTTCTTTAGAGCTAGAAAAGGGGTTCGTCAAGGTGATCCTTTATCACCATATTTATTTACTATTGTCATGGAGGGCCTCTGGACCATGTTGGTAGTTGCAGGTCAATCAGGACAGATCCCTTTCCACCTCCAGTGTCGAAGAGTTGGCCTCAATCACATGTGCTTTGCTGATGATATTCTGGTTTTCACCACTGGTTCAACTCAAGCGATTCTTCAGGTAAAAGAGGTGCTGCAACAGTTTTATAAGCTATAAGGACTTAAAAGCAACCCAACTAAATGTGAAGTTTATTTTGGGGGAGAGTCTGTCAAGTACAAGGATAATGCTCTGCTTCTATCTGGCTTTAAAGAGGGCGAGTTACCAGTAAGATATTTGGGGCTGCCATTGATGACAGGCAAGCTATCATCCAAAGAGGTGGATATTTTAGTGTAAAAGATCACAAAACGGATTAAATCTTGGAGATCAAGGAAGTTGACCTATCCTGGGAGATTGCAATTAATTAATTCAGTCTTATTAGGAGTTGTAAAGTATTGGATGCAACTCTTTGTGCTTCCTAAGAAGGCGCTGAAGCGAATTCAACAGGTTTGTTCTCAATTCCTTTGGCATGAGACTGATGCTGGGAGAGCTAAGGTGGTGTGGGATTTTGTGGCATGCCAAAGAAGGAGGGTGGACTTGGAGTCAAAGATTTGATGGCATGGGACCAGGCCTGCACAATTCTCATGCTCTGGTTATTTCTGATGAAGGCTGGAGCATTGTGGGTTGCATGGATGTATGAATATAAGTGTGGACAGGGTGATCTTTGGTCTTTGAGGGTGCAGTATAGTAGTTCATGGACATGGAGGAGGCTGCTTAAGCTGTGGGATATCATTTCGCCATGGATATCTCAGCAGGGAGGTGTTATTTTTTGTGATTCCCAAGAGATGATGGTTTACTCAGTTCGCAGAGTATGGGACACTCTAAGAAGAAAGGCACCACCTGTCTCTTGGTACAAGCTTATTTTGGAGTAGCTGCTGTCCCCCACGATATAGCCTAATCACTTGGCTGTTAATGAGAAACGCAATTGTTACCAGAGACAAACTATTGCAATGGGGCAAGATTCCAGATGCATCTTGTCCTCTATGTGGTGTGGAAGTTGAGAGTCGGGATCATTTATTTCTCAGGTGCTCTTTCTCCCTCAGCCTTGCTGCACAACTGCGATTCAGGTTTCTACATTTCCAGAACTGGGATGCAATGGTGCAGGCTCTCAAAACAGAATTAGTCAAGAATGCACATGCTGGGAAATGGCATGCTCTTTTGTGGTGTCTTACAGTGACATTTGTTTGGAAAGAACGGTGCAAAGTGGTCCATGGAACTCCTAGTCGAGACCCTGGGATAGTTGCTGAACAAATTAGGGTGGATCTACAGTTTTTATCTAGTGGAAATAGAAGCTTACGAGATGCATTTACAAGACTTAGCTACTTATAGAATTTTTGTTTTGAAGTTTCTGTAAGTAGTCTCATATATAGAGGAAGGTTGCAGTGAAAGGCTTATTTGGGATCCTTTGTGATTCCACTTCGTTGTATCGGTTCGTATTTGGAATAAAGCAACTGATTCAACGTGAAATTTTTTTTATTGTTTTGTTTTTTAATGCAATTAATATTAGGAAAATTCTTCTTATTGGTCTTTAAAAGGATACAATATGAGAGTTTTTCAAGAGGTCGCTCAGCTCAACATTTCTTATCCTCACACATTTAACTTCAAAATAACTTATATGATTCGACACATAGTACTGGTATGATTGCCTAAAAAAAACTCATTTTACAACTACTAATATGAACACATAAATTGTTTTATGCTAATTGATTGTAACCTAATTATTCAATTAAGAGAGACCTGCGACGGAAGAAAGTATATTGCAAAGATTTCCCCATAATTAGTTTAAAAGATTACGCAAGATTCGGAAAATTTGACTCTTTTTAATAATAAAACATATTATATATATTACTATTCGCCACATATATCCAAATTTTAAAAAGAAAATAATTTCTTGGAATGTTTTGGTTGAAATTGTAAACGTCACTACTGGTTGGGCGATTAAGGAAAATCCGATCCCATGCAATGCAATTGACTTACGTGGCTTTCCTTTTTTTTTTGTGTTTTGATTTCCCACATGGTATATGAAAAATTCAAATATGGTCCCTTTTTATATTTTCAAATTGTATACAAAATTGCGACTATTTTGACAGAATTTATAACAGAGTACGTGGGCATAATTATATTTAAGTACATAGTGGCCAATTGCGCAGCAAAAGAGAGACAAATAGGGAGGTTGGTTGGACTCAATCAAGATATGGGAGTAGACAAAGTCAAAATATTTTAATTTTTGGAGTAAATAGAACTTTTTGTTGTCGATGAATAGCTCGTACTTTGTGGTGTTTATTTGGGCAAAATACACTTGTATAGTTAAAACTTTTGTGTTTGTGCGAATAATAGCCGAATTTGGAGAAATACTACTTATTAGCTACATTTTTAAAGCTTATTAGACTAATTTAGCCATTTTCATCAAATACTTTAACACCGTCATTTATTCCGTCAGTGAAATGAACGTTAGGCTGATGTGGCTACCTCCTAGACAACACATCATGTCCACATAGATCTTGTCATGCCACAATTTAAAGTAATTTTTTATGTCATTCCATTTAATTTTAAAGATCTCTTCTCCGTCTCCTTCTCCTTCAAAGACAAAAAAAAAAAAAAAAAATAAGAAGAGGGATCTGTCCCCTTCATCTTCTTCTTCCTACCATCACAAACCTCCCTACCGCCTTGAAAATCCGACCGCCGCCACCCTAAAAATCCCCCACATCTAGCTCTTCATCCTCCCAAATCCCTCTCTACGAGCTCTTAATAATGGAAACCCCAACCAGATTCTTAAACCCCCATACCCAAATCCTCCACCGCCATCAACAAACCCAGATTATTGGCACAGAGATTAGGGTTCATAGATTGGGGGTTTCAAAAAGTTAGAGAGAGAGGGAGAGAGAGAGAGAGAGAGAGAAATGGAGGATTCTTCTTCGACGAACTGCAAGCGATTGGACGGAGAATTTGACGAAGTTGCCCGGGATTCCGCGACAACTACGAGGAGCTTCTCCAAGAAGTTGAAGAAGAGCGGACGGAGTTTGCAGAATTGAAATCGAGCTCCACTCTCCCCAGGAATTTTGACGTAATACGCTGACGCTACTGCTCATTAGCTGAGGGGAATAGGCCGGCGAATGTCGAATTCATCGTCGACATCTGGCTGTCTCATGTTTGACGACAAAATTATTGGCAGAAACGCGAAAGTTTTGGCTATACAAGTGTATTTTGACCTCTTTTTTCACATATGGGGTAATGACTGATATACTTTAGGAGTATACTATACTCCATGTGATATGCCTGTTAGATTTTTCTTTTTTAAGCTCCGGCCAATCTCGACGGTCAATTAGTATTTTCTATTAAATTGAATTTATGGTTCGAGTTTTGAGAATCGAGACATGGGGTTTATTCATTAGTAATTAAGGTATAGTATCATACCCCAAATTCGGTTTAATTCATGGTCTAAATAAAAATATCTCACTAAAATATCTGAAGTATAATATTACACCAATCTAATCCTCACATATATCTACACATGTTATAATCTCAAGCCATATATATAAACGTTGGAGGATTATATTCATATCCTGAACTGCATGTAGCTAGGCTCTCCACACGCGAGTATGTTTCTTTCTCTACCCACATAAAAAAACATAATATCAAAATTCA